ACCTGCGAGCCCGCCGCGCCGCGCCGCGCCGCCGCCGCCAAACCGAAAGCGAAGGCGGCGCGCGGGAAGGGGAGGAGCGGAAGCGGCGAGGGCTGCCCGGCGCGGGGGCCTGCCGCTGCTCGCGGGACCGGGCCGGGCCGGGCCGGGCCCCGTCTGGGAAGGAGGGCGGCCCGGGCCTGAGCTGCGCAACGGCCCTGGCAGGTAGGACAGGCGGCGCGAGGGCGGCCCGGCCGCTTCCCGGCTGCTCGAGGACTGAGCTGCGGCTCTCCGCGCCCGCGCGGGCCGGACCCATGTTCCCCAGCGGCTGGCGCGGCAGCAGGGGGCCTCTGCCCGTGGCCCTGCGGACCCGCGGCCGGCTCCTCCACGGGCGCGCCCCGCCTGCTCGTCGGCCCGTCCCGGGGGGCCCGTCGTGGCCGGGAAGCCCCGCATGGGCGGCTCCCCTCGCCCCGCGCCACGCACCGCGCCGAGCACCGCCCGCGTGGGCCCCCTTCCTTGCTTTTCCTGAGCTGAACCAGGGGGCTGGTGACCAGGGGGGCTGGGTGGCCCGGAGAGAGCACCGTCCATCCGCCTGAGGCTGGGCTACCTGCTGCCAGAGAGCCTGCCCGTGGTCCTGGCGCTGGGGGCCTCCCTGGACTGCGGCCGTGCTCGGTCCTTGGGCCCCCTCTGAAGGCTGCTCGGCAACCCCTGGGCTTGGCCCAGAGTAGACCAGGACCGGCAGGTATGAGGCGCCCGCCCCCAGTCCTCCAGCACCGCCCCTGGGCCACCCGTGGAAGTCAGTTCATGCTAATCTTTGTTGACACTAATATTTAACCTGGGGCCAGGTGATCTAAGCAAGCACCTGTTCCCATAGATGCTCCCCCTCGCCAGGCCCTTAGGTCATCTCGGGGAACTCCTTAAGGAGCCCCCTGAAGGAAATAAGGAAGGGGGCTACAAGGAGAGGAGCCTTCTCAGCACTGGCACCCCGACTTTGGAATCTGCTCCCCAAAGAGGTTTGCCTGGCACTTTCTCTTATTCTTTCCAGTGCCAGGCAAAGACCTTTTTATTCACCCGATATTTTAACTGTTAAGGTAATTTTAAAGATATTATGGTACAGTATTTGTTATATTTTAGTGCTTTTTACCTTTCACTCTGTTTTTACTGGTTAAGAACTGAAGTTATAGGGAAGTTATTAAGTTTTATTGCAGGTGCCCTTGTGTTGATCCTTGTTTTATTACTGCTGTATTTGTGAAAGTAATGCTATTTATTTTATTATGCATGTTTTATAGTGCACCTTATTAACCTCCCCTGAGAGCCATTTTGGCTAAAGGGGTGGGATAGAAATCTAATAAACAAACAAAATACAGTCCTGGTTGCAGCCAATCTGGCAGGCGAGTTGCCCCCGATCATTCTCTTCCAGCCCAGTAATATCCTTTTTCAGGTGTGGCTCCAGAATTGTGCACACGATTCTAAATGTGGCCCCACCAAAGACTTGCAAACAGGAAGCATGATCTCAGCTGGGTTATTTTCGGTTCCTGCCCTAATTATACCCCAGCCAGATTTAGCTTTCCAGGGCCGCTTCACCTCGGGCCGTCCACCACAGCCCACTGTGAGCTGCTACACAGGGTATGTCTTTGGAGCAGAAGTCAGCTGTTCGTCTGCTGCCTCGGCAGAGCTGGGCTGGCGGCCCGGGAGCGTCTGGCAGCCGTCTCCCGAGACGAAATGAAGCGGTTCAGTGCCTGATGGACCCCCCGGAAGGCTTTCCCCAAAGGCTCACATTGGGTGAGAACGGAACAGAACGTGGGACAGCAAGAGGGATACCCGAGGAAGCTCCGGGCTGGGCTGGGCTGCGCTCCCCTTGCATGCCAGCCTCGGCCCCTGGCCTTGAAGCCTTCCTTCATGAACAGAAGGCAGGTGCCAAGAAAGGCCAGGGGCTCTGCGAGAAACGGGCATCCTCTAGGGCCGCCTTCTGCCAGTCCAAGAGGAGAGCCAGCTCGGCTGCCGTCCCGCTGCAAAGGGCACCATTTCCAGGGCTCTGCGGGCTTTGGGCCTGGGCAGCCGGGGGCCTGTCCCCACCTCCTCCCAGAAGCACTGGGTGTGTTGCTGAAGCCCCCGCACCCCTCCTGCCAGTGGACGGGCGCCATGCTGGAAGGCCACGGAAGCGGCTGGGCTCCTTGCTTGCCAGGGCGAGGATCCACCGCCCAGGCACTTGGCTGCCTGTGGCTACGGCCTCCCGTCCCCCTGCCTCTTCCCCTGACGCCAGGAGTCGGCACCTGCTGGTTCTCTGCAGGAAGGGGCTCCCTCCCACGGAAGCGGCTCCTGGATTTTCTTAGTATAGTCTGGGAAAACTGCTTCTCCATGTCTTAAGGAGGCCCACTTTGCTAAGAATGCAGCTAGTTTCCCCATTGCCTCGCCTCCTCTTGCGAAGCACCCAAGGTGGCTTATGAAATACCCCCTCACCCTTCTGTCTTCACAACAATCCTGCGAGGTAGGTCGGGCGGAGAGTCAGTGGCTCTCCCAGGTCGCCCGTCCAACGCCGCTCTGGCTTCTCTAGGGATAACTGGGTAAGGGCTGAAGCATCCCCAGCTGGTGAGCCCGTTAACAAAATCCCACCCAACCCGGTTTGTGCGTCAGACTCTCTGGGATTCTCAGAGATGTCCTTGTGGGGTTCTCCCGCTCAGCAGTGCAGTGGGTGGGTCTCTTTGCGGGAAACCCCCTTCCTAGCCCGAGATGTTGCATTTGCCTGCTAAGCAGGTATGTGGGTCTTGTTGGAACATGCGAGTTCAGAGGTGGCCTAATGAAAACGCGCCCTATAAAAGCTCCACTCCACCTGATCCTTGAAGTTGGGAGATTTTGCCCCCGTTTCCATTGCTTTGCGCTACATTTGCCGTTCCAATGCCCACTTTCCCAGCCTGAAGAGATCCTTTTGGAATGTCTCACAGAACCTTTGTTTTGACCACCCAAAATAGTTTGGTGCCATCAGCAAACTTGACCACTTCATGGCTACTCCTAACTCCAGATCATGCATGTTTAAGCTGCGTACCATTCCTCCCAGTACAGTTCCAGTACTGCTGGCACTCCTCCACTGGGAGGGTGAAAATGGGAGCAAGGGCTTCTGCTTTCTGAACTATGCCGGGACTAATGATAGAATAATCGAGCTGCAATCCTGTTTAGACAGAGACGGATGCCATAACCCCCATGGGCTGCCTAAACCTGCAAGAGAAGGCACCGTTTCGGGTTCCTGGAGGGAAGAGCACATCTTCCTCTTCACACAGTGGCCCTGCGAGGCGGGCCCCCGCTAGGGCCAACCCATGCCACATAAGGCAGAGTGTGCTGCTGAGCACTCTGAGCATTCCCAACCTTGGGGAAAGAGCCACGAGTTGAGCCATCCAAAGGGGGGGTAAAGAGGAGTTGCTCTCAGCAACCCCCCCCCCCCCGCCAGTAAAGGAAAGCCCTGGACGAGAGGGGCCAGGCCAGGCCAGGCCAGGCCAGGCCGCAGCCGCATCGTTTGAAACTGCAGCGCATTCCCTCGCGTCGGGGGCAGTGTGGCGAACCAGCCAGCTCACTTCCAGGCTGGCTCAGTGGCTGATCAGGCAGGCTTACTGAAACGTTTGAATAAGACAGGGGTGGGAAACCCCGGCTGTGGGCTACAAATGGCCTTTCTGGGGTCCCCAGAGAGCCATCCCGCTTTCCTCCAACCATCGATTATCTGCTTATTGTTCGGTGGGGTTCTTGGATGCTTTTCCCCCCATTCTGAAAAGCTGGGCTGCCTCTTCAACGGCTAAGCGACTGACAGCGAGGCCTTTAAACTAAACTCTGCAGACACCTTTTCATTTGGGGTTCCTCCCCCATGCCTTTGATCCACCCTCTCCAAAGCAGGGTTGGCCCCTTGGCCTGAGAAGCGGTTGCCCAGCTGTGAAGTAAGGCAGCCATGAGACCCAAAATGCAGAGGGGCGAGGAGACGGACGGAGCTGGATTCAGTGCTTGACTTCGCGGGCTGAAAGGTGGCAGGAATCTTCTGTCCCTCTTACCTTGGGAGCTGCAACCTGCGAGGAGAGAAAAGGGAGGCCGGGGCCCCACCTTCATCCAACTGCGCATTTCAGCTTGCAAACCCTGGGCAAGATGTTGGCAAACTCCACAACCGGCGATTCGGCTGCCCCTCTGCTTTATCACAAGATAGTACCAGAGCAAATCAACAGGTCTTTTATTTTCCAAGAGACAGAAAAATAAATGCACTTTGTTAAAAGACCCCGGAGAGCCGTGGCCTCCGGTTGTCGTGTTGCTATTTGGTCAGGAAGGAGAAGGCACAGCGATGCTACGTGAGCACAAAGCCAGGAAGGTGTTTTTTTCTGGGGGGCGGGGGGCCGCCTGCTGCTGCCCAGGGCTAGGCTTGCTTGTGGGCCGAAAAGAACCTTCCGTGGGGCCACTGCTGGCTTGTTTTATGAGGGAGGGAGCAGTCGGAGGGATGACCCTCGCGACCCTTTTGACGTGGCGGCTCGACTTCTGTGTTGTTTGGGCCTGACTCCCCTCCGACGATGCCCCATCTTGACCTGACTTGGTGGGAACAGCTCCAGGGTCTTTGATCAGCCGCTTGGCAAAGGGGCAAAAGATTCAGCCGGGGACCCAGGTGCCGTTCCCAGGGAATCGGGGTGGCCACCTGGCCATTTTCTGTGCCATAAAGCCCCCCCCCCCGGTGGCCCCCAGTCAGCCTTTTCCCAGGGGAGGACACAGCGCCAGATCTTGGGGGGGATGAGCTGGAACCCGGCCGAGTGGGGATCAGCAGCTCTCGAGCAAGGCAGGGCAACTCTGCACCGCCCTGCCACACCCGGCTGCGGGGAACGGGGGGAGGCAACTGGGGATGCCCCCACAGGGAGCTACCAGTGTGCCCTTCCCGGCCCTAAACCACATCAAGTAGTGCAATAAATTCAAGTAGATAGACAGGCTGGGGCCACACATCGCCCTCCCGCCCCACCCCGAGCCTTCTTTGATAACAGGGCAGGAATCAGAAGCACTGCACTCGAAACTAGGATGGGGAATGGGGGGCAGGAGCTGGACCGTATCCCGCGGGACCTATTATTTAGCTGTCCTCAAGACGGGACAGCGTGAGGACCCCCGTGACCCAGCCCCGTCCCCTCCCTCCGGGCCACTGGCCCACCGGCGCCCGCGCATCATGCGCTGAGACAAGGGAGCGCAATTGTCTGGCGACGGATGGCAGCTGCTCCTCTGAGGGCTCAGCCAAGGCCCTGCTGGATCCCAGATGGGCAGTCCCAGACCTGCGCCCCGGACACGGAGGAGGAGGAGGAGGAGGACCCGCCGCCTGGCCTTCTGCGACCAGACTCTTCCTCTGGGAACCCCGGAGGGGCTTCTGTTTCCAAAGCTTCTGCGGACAGGGGTTCACGCCCGGATCCTTCACTCGGGGCGGGAGAGGTGTGCCAGGCACGCCCATCTTCCTGCAGGAGACGTGGCCGTCGGTCACGGAGCCCGGAAGTGTTTCTTTGGCACGCGCATGCATGCCCATTGGCACAAGGGAGGCGCCACCGCCCGCCTTGCCCCAGCCGAGAGGCACAGGCGCCTTCTTCCCTGAGTGCCGGCGGGAGAGCCTCCGGCTGCCGTTCAAGGGCATTCGGTGGGCCGGCGCTCACCCCGGAGTCGGAGAGGACGGCCTTCCGCAGTGAAACGCGCGTCAGAGCTCACCGCCTTGGCTCATCTGGAGAGGCCCTCCTCTTCCTCGGGGGCCTCCTCCCCCCTGAGGTTTGCCGCCTCCGGGACCACCTGCTCAGGCCCCTGCTCTGCAGGGGGCCTGCTCCAGGAGCCCCCGGGGGGGCTGCCAGCAGCCAGCCAGGGGTGCATCAGGATCTCGCCGGCCGTCAGCCTCTCAGCCGGGTCTTTTCTCAGGAGGCAGCGGATGAGGCAGCGAGACTTGGGCGAGAGGTCCTCGGGGACAGCGAAGCGCCCGCGGCGGATCTTGCCGAAGAGCGAGGCCGGCTTGGTGTCTTGGAAGGGGTAGCACCCCACGAGGAGCGTGTAGAGCGCGATGCCAAGGCTCCAGATGTCCGCCGCCTTCCCGGAATAGGAGGCCTTGGGACTGAGCAGCTCGGGCCCCACGTAGGCGGGGCAGCCGTGCCGGTCCTCCAGGGAGTCACTGGGCCCGTCCAGCACCCAGGCGTCCTCTAAATTATCCAGCAGCAGCCTGGACCTGCGCATGAGAGCGAGAGCCGGCCATTAGTGTCCAGAAGCAGAGAAGCAAAGCAAGAGTCTGCAGCTAGAAAGCTTGGATTATGAGGTGCAGCAGGCCCACTTCTAAACAGATTTCCACCTTAGTCAGGACACTGGTGAGGGTCCTGTTGCTTTTAGCGGAATTTGGGCTCTCTGCTCTTCACCTCCCCAGCGCACCCTGTTCCGTGTTTTCTATTCTTCCAGGAACAGCATGTGAGCAAACAATCCAGCCAGTAAATATGGTGCAAATGTGCTTTTTTAAAAAGGACACTTATTCTTTATTTTATCCATCTGCAGTAACTATCGACCTCAGCATGGGAGGTTCACCAGGCACCCTCTTAAGTTCACCAGCAACTTTCAGAATCAATCTTGGGCACACATGTGACAAAGAGGAAAGCGAGTTGCCTGAGGGCGCGAAGAGCTACAGTAAAAGAGGGGTGCTGTGGAGCACATTCTGGGGACCGCTATGAATTGCAGGTATGGGAAATCGCACACCTGAAGGGTCCCCTTGGAGATGCCATGTATTTATTAGTAAAAAGGGCAAACAGTACCCCTCCCCCCATGCCACCTATCTAGCCTGCGAAAGAAGGCACGGACGTCTCCGCTGCTCGGGGGCTCCTCCACCCACCCGCCGCTCAGGCCACTGAGACAAGGTGTAGGCGCCGTTTCTTACACGCTTAACGATTTACAAGCTTCGACCGAGACTAATCTGACCACTCTGCTAATAGATTTTGAAAGATGAAGAGAAATTGGAAGGCAAGGCAAGTGTTCAGAACCTTGCCAAGAGAGCAGTAGAATTCATTTCTCTGCTATGTCTGCTCGCTCACTCTCTCTTTCTCTTCTCTTCTCTCTCAGTGTGTGTGTGTGTGTGTGTGTGCAGGGTGGGGAGCGGCCTGTGCGCACCTGAACAGGTAATGCCAGTCTGAAGGGCTAAACAAAGTCTAAACAATTTTTCCTTTAAAATAGAACCTCAAAGCAGTTTACGATATAAAGTCATGCCAAAATACGACAAAACCAATCACTAAACCAACCAATTATCAGTTAAAGTGACCAGGGAGGCCGAAACCCCTGAGCAAACGTGGGACTTCTGTCGTCGGCAGAAGTATTCACGCAAGCAGCCCGCCCGAGCTCAGCGGGGGGATTCCTGCACATGGCGGGGGCTACAGTGGGGAAGCCCCCGCTCCGCCCCATGGCCAGGTGAGTTCCAGCAGGCTGCAGGGAGACAGCCAGCCCTCCCACCCAGAAAGGAGAGAGCAGGGCAGCAGCTCGTCCCTCGAATAAGCTTGTCCTGAGCTCATTCAGACACCATGAGCCAGCGACTCCTTGGGCAGGGTTCAGCAGCTAACAAGCCTTCGGCACGACCCACGCTTTCCGCGGCATTCCACCCTCCTCTTCGCCTGCCTCCTCTCCCCAGAGGTATTCTTGCTGCATTTCTTCTCCAGCTCCAGCTCCTTGAGCCTTTCAAAGATGCCCCGATTCCTGAAATCCACCTTCCACAAGCCGGCGTCCTCCGGAACTTTGGACAACAAGTCACAGCATTCCCCGCCACTGGCCCTGTTTGCTGCGGCTGATGGGGCTTGAAGTCCAAAGTGTTTGGAGGGTTCCGGATTGTAAGCTCCTCGGGGCAAAGACCTTATGATACCAGCAGCACAGGACAGCCATTTTACTAGAGGCTTTATTTTTGTGTGGAAAATTTTGCATTTACTAAGTTCATTAACAAAAATGAACGGATGCCATTTACAAATACAGTATAAGCCAAGCATGGCAGTTCTGAAGCTGTTACTAATGTTTTTCAGGGGATTTAGGATTCCAATAAAAGATCTAGAGATAATGTAATGTTCAAGCCACGTCATGTGTACGTCATTAAGTACCACGGGTGTCTGGTGAGCTGAACTAGATCATACTCTTGGATGTGGGTGGAGAATTTCTGGGGCATATTAGCCTACAGCTACCTTGACGCTCAACGTTTGCCACACTGGCTGGGGATGATGGGAATTGCAAGCCAAACTGATGAACCAAAAGTTGCTCTCTGCAGCTCTGGAAGATTTCCAGTGCAAAGCAAAAACATTTTTAGGCGAACTGAAATTTGCTAATTTGCATGGATTACCCTAATTTGCATGGATTTCCCTGCTCCCCAGGCCAACCTTCCTGGAAAACCCGCTTCGCTGTGATGCACCTTGCGAAGCCCGGTGCATAATTCCTGGTGCTACATAAAGAAAAGACGCTAAAACCCCCCTCGATTCTGCCACTCGGGTCATTTGGCGGCACAAAATGAGCGATGACGGGCGTCTGCAATATGGCGCCCTGTGGCAGGGGGTCCCGTCCCCTTCCCGGCCGCTCACCTGCCTCTGTCGGCAAAGACAAACTTCCTCAGCTTGAGGTCGCGGAGGACGAGGCCGTGCTGGTGACAGTGGGCGACCGCGTCCGCCATCTGCCGGAAGAGCGCGACGGCCTCGCACTCGGGCAGGCGCTTGCGCCGCCGTACATAGCTGTGCATGTCATCCTTCCCGGGCTCGAGGAAGAGGTACACGTTCTGGTCCCCGACGATCACCTCGGCCAGGCGGGCGACGTTCGGATGCGAGGGGAGGACGCCGTACGGGGCCAGCACCTCTGCGTAGCTCTTGGCCGGGTACACCTGGAACAGGAACAACGGGAGACGGTGACCAGCGCGAAAGGGGCCCAAAATGCCGGGGGAACAGTCGGATTGGGGCGGCCAAGGGGCGGGAGAAGCTGCAGTTTTACAGCGTTATGGGGTGGTGTTGAGAGCAAGTGTGGTCAGAATCCGGGACTGGGACTCGGGAGATCTGTGCTCCCTTCTCCACATGGTTGTGAAGCTCCAGGGTGACTTTGGACAAAGTGCAGACGCCCGGCCTGACCTTCGTCACAGGGATGCAGTGGGGACTGCGTGGAGAGGAGGAGAGCTTTGTAAGCTGCCTTGGGTTCCTTGCAAGAGGGCGAAAAGCGCAACTTAAATGCAGTGTAAACAGGAATCACAAGAAACCAAGCAGAGCCCTTTCAAAAAGCCACGTATAGACAGGTCTCTGTCAAAACAAATATTTTGTTTTTATTCATGTTGTGCATTGTCTGGGGGAGAAATACACAACTTGCATGGGTCCCAATCCTTTGCTGAGCACTAAGTCCCATTTGGATCAAAGGGGCTTGCCTTGAGGTGTGTGTAGGAATGGACTTACTTTTGAGTAGACCTATGCAGGACTGCCCTTCCTAAATATGGCTTGATAATGACAATTGCCATAAAATTAGAGAGGTGACCAAACCCCCGGGTGCTCCCCTGTGCTCCCCACCTCAGCATTCCCAGTTGGATGCCGTCTGCAGAGCCCCTTGCTCTGGTTTTGCCTCCCCCCCACCAGAATTCAGAGAGGAACACGAGCTCCTTCAAGAAGACATTGTTTTAACTCCTTCTCATAATAAAGCTTGCAATGTATGGCTGTGAGAGCCGGACCATAAGGAAGGCTGAGCGCCGAAGGATTGAGGCCCTTGAATTGTGGTGCTGGAGGAGAAGCCTGCGAGTCCCCTGGACCGCAAGGCGATCAAACTGGTCAGTCCTAGAGGAGATCAACCTTGACTGCTCTTTAGAAGGCCAGATACTGAAGGTGAAACTCAAATGCTTTGGCCACCTAATGAGAAGGAAGGACTCCCTGGAGAAGAGCCTAATGCTGGGAACAATAGATGGCAAAAGAAGAAGGGGGCGGCAGAGAATGAGGTGACTGGATGGGGTCACTGAGGCAGTGGGTGTGAGCTTGGGTGGACCCCGGGGGATGGTGGAGGACAGGAAGGCCTGGGGGAATGTTGTCCATGGGGTCGCGATGGGCTGGACATGACTTCCCGACTAACAACAACAACAAAATAAAGCATGAGCTTCTTTGGAGTGACAAAAGAGATACCTTCCGATTGTCATTTGAGGGCGGGGTGGGGTGCCCTTGGATATGATGTCACTGTTGGCATAACTGGAGCAAGTAATGCCACGTTCAGCCAGCAGGTGTCAGCACCACATTGCAGCTGGAAGGCATGTCAAGGACTGGGCCATGAGAGCCCAGTGAAGAACCTTGTGACACCTTCAGGACTAGCAGCTTTGCAATAGTGTAACCTTTTGCTGATTCTGACGAAGTGAGCTGTAGTCCTTAGAAGGTCTTCGCCATCATAACATTTTTAGCTCTTAAGATGCTACAAGGCTCTTCGGATTTTTTGCCACAACACACTAACACCTCTACTCTCAATTATAACTGAGAGCAGGGTTAGAGTTTTGCTTTAGAAAATGATGGGATGGAAAGGGATCCTGGAGACCAGAGTTTTCTGCAGCGGTGCTACCTTGCAGGTGTATTCCGCCTCGGTGTGCTTGTTCACGGCCCTGTAGCGGCGCCCCCCTTCGGCGGCCTCCAGAAGGATGTAGGGGCCAATCTGCGAGACCCTTGAAACCGGCTCCGTGGAAGGCGGAGAGTGAGCCAGGGGCTGGAGGCAGGGCGCTAGTCCTGGCAGTGGCCCAAGACACGGCCGCTTGGCCTCTGGCAGGTCAGCCTCAGATGCATCTTCGAAGTCCAGCCGCTTCTTCTGCAGAGGGGCGACCGCAGGGCTCTCCAGAGCGAACACACCCATCTGCAGAAAGAAGCGAGAGCAAGAGACGACGTGAAAAACGGAGATGGGAGCCACACGCGAGTGGGGCGCGACTCAGTGCCTTGAGATGGCTCACGAGGGAAACTGGCAGGTCATGTCACTTCTCTCTTCTTCTGGTCATCCCAAGCTCCATACACTGAATCACACCGTTGGGAGGGACCTCAGAGGTCATCTAGTCCAACCTCCTCGCAATGCGCAATATCAGGTTCCCCAGGATTGTTGGTACGTAGCCAGCCATTAGCTAAAAAATCTCCCATATGCTTCCTCCTTAACTGAATTAATAATGTCAATTAAGCCAGAGCTCTGGCTATTGGGTAGTATAGATATGAAATAAAAATAAATAAATTTACAAAAGATGTCCAAAGTGATACACAACATAATGCATGAAGTACTACAATCCCCTAAAACTCACACGGATAACCAAAAGCATTCATGGGAAACCTTCCATACAACACCACCGGGCGATTAAAGAGCTGCAAAGGGGCCAGACTTTGGGCCGATGGGTGGCGTGGAAATAATACTTAAATAAATCAATAAATAAATCCGTGTGAAACAGGAGAGAGATGTTGCCTGAGGCGTGAGAGGCACGGTCCCACTTCCGCAGCTCTGGCACAGAAATCCCCTTGCTCTCATGCCCCCACAACGAACTGGCTACGAAGGGAGGGGCCAGAGAAGGAGCTCACCCCACTCGCCCTGAGCCCGGGGGGGTTCTGCCATTGTCTGTGAAGCCGACCGAAAATGCTTCACGTCTTGTGTGCAGAAGGCACGGGGTCTCCGATCGATGGAATGGTAAAGTCTGCAGCTGGGCAGACAGACTGCTAGGCGTGGGAACAGGCGCACCTGGTGGGCACCAGGTTGGGGAAGGCTGCCCCAGGGCATCGTGTTCCACAGGCCAGGCGTGGCTTGCGTGAAGACGTGGGTGTCCTGCCAGCCCCTCCAGTGGTCCAGCTATGAATCGAGGCAAGACATGCACCAGCCAGCCAAGCCCACAGTCCCCTGCACTCCCGTTCTGTCTATGCTGCCAGATACTCCCGTATCACGCCGGTCCTCTTCCACCTACACTGGCTGCCAATTGAAGTCCAGGCCCCATTTAAGGTGCTGGTGAGGACCTATAGAGCCCTAAACGGCTTGGATCCGGGATACCTGAAGGAGCGGCTTCTTCCCCATGTGCCAGCCCGCCCCTTGAGATCTGAGGTGGAGGTCCTGCTGCGGGAGCCCTCCCTGAAGGAGATTAGGAGGGTACTGTAGCTACCCGGAGGAGCGCCTTCTCTGTGGTGGCGCCCCGACTTTGGAACATGCTCCCCAGGGCGGTTTGCCTGGTGCCATCACTTTATTCTTTTCGACATCAGGCAGAGACCTTTTTATTCTCCCAACATTTCAACAGTTAATTGGTTTTATCATTATGGTCGGAGGCAGTGTGTTGTGTGTTGTGTGTGGCTGTTTTGTTTTTTGTTAGCCGTCCAGGGACTTTAGTATCAAAGGCATATAAAAACTTTAAATGGATGAATGTGCCCAGGAGAGTCTCAGCCAAGCGCAGACAGCAGCGCGCATGACTGTGCTTCGGCTCTGGGCGAGCGATGCGGCCCAGGCCCGGGGGGAGCGTGTGTCGCGGGCCTGACTCGCCACCGAGCGATCCTAACAGGGCACCATCTGGCGCGAGGTGCCCAAGAGGACTCTGCCTGGATGCCCGGCCGCCGACCTGGGGGCGTTCAGGGCCCCTCTCCAGCCCGCCCACAGCACCACGGTGGCTGGCCAGGCTGTGGGGAGCCGCTTGGCTTATCTCGCGGGCACCTGTTGGGGAAGGCTGCTCCAAAAGAACCGGGTTCCCGGCACGCAGGCAGACACTCTCCAAGCCCCCTTCTGACGCAGGAGGAGCCGGCGCGGCCTCAGCAGCCTTCCCCAAACGACGACGAGCAAACAGGCACAGGCACTGCAGTGGAAAAGCGAGCGAGCGAGCGAGCGGGCGGGCTGCTCATGTGGAAAACAACAGGAAGTGCGGGCCGTCCCCTGGGGAGGGCGGAGGAGTCCTCCTGCCCCAAAGGCTCCCACAACTACCAGCCCCAGGCATCCGGGGCGACGGCCAAGCCGCTCAGCGCGGGCAAAGGTCCAGCACAGGCATCGCGGCGCTCTCTCGTCCTCTCGCCTCCCCAGCAGGCACAGGAACTGGATGATGCAAGCGGACCGCAAGGTTTCCAGGACCTGCACGCTTTGAGCCGGGTGGCCGAGCGCCAGGCTGCCCACAGGCCATTCACCTTGAACCCCCATCCCAGACTCCTGGCAAACAGCTGCGGGTGGGAAAACGCTCTGCACATGCGCGAAGTCCCATCATTTCGAGCCCGCATTTGGCGCCATTCCAGAGCTGTGCTTCACACACATACGGAGTTCTCGGGCTCAGCCATCCTGGATACAACCTGCCCTGAGCCTCGGCTATAAAAGGGGAGCCTGGGCTAGTGGGCACACCAGATCGTGCCCTCAGTCCCTGGGACACGCGTCTCAAAATTCTCCCGAATTCTTAAGGACAGCTTGGACCTTAACCCCCTCTGAATCATAATTGTAGCAAACACTTAGCATGTAGCGGCACCTCATTCCTGTATTTAGCTGTTTGATTTCTACCTGAAAAACAACACTCCAGGTGGCTTTTCCCGAGTACTCGGAGACCTTTGCCTCTCTCATCTCATGAACCCTACAACAATCCTACAGGGTAGGCCAGTGTTTTTTTCTTCATAGTATGCAGGTGGGAACAGAAGCAGAAAGAACCAGAGGCTTTCTGAACACTTCCTGGTTCGAGGCCCAAATGAGATTTGGCTGGGCAACTCACAAGCACAAACTACACACAGAAGAAATATGCGCTGGTTAAGACCCACAAACACACCCCTTAGGGGAGAAGTCCTTTCGGGGAAGGACAATTTGCAATGGAGAAGCTGCAGGGGGTGGCAGGATTGCTGCTGAACTTCACCTTCACATGTTGGCAAAGGCTACTGCCACGAAGACCCTTGCTCAGGTCTAAGCCCTGAGGGACTCGGCTGCCATTGTGTCTGATACACCAAGTTTTAATTCTGTCGCATTCTGGGGGCTCAGGGCCCTGATGCCCGAGACACCCCGGCACATAGCTCTGTGCCATGGTTCCTACTAAATGCAGCCACGACGCCTGGCAAGGTGGGCTGGGGGCAAGACCCCTCCTCTCCTCTCGCTAGGCACAGCCAGGATGGTTCCTGCCGGGGAATCCTCCCGGCCCAGTTTCAACACCACCCCAAAGCTCCGCACAAGCTTTGCCTCAAGTCGGATTTTGAACCTGTTTCTATGCGGAGGCCGGGAAAGGCAACCCGTGGGTGCCAAGGAGCGAGCATCACCCGGAAGCAGCCTCATCCAGGGCCACTTGCTTGCCCACCTGCAGCAAGCTCAGAATCGCCCTCAGGCGAGCAGAGGAAACCCGCTGCCTAACGGGAACAAGCGTTTGTTTCTCTTTCGTTCTCGGGCTTCTCTGCAGGCATAAATGAATGCACGGGAGTGCCGGCGATGAGGCTTCCTTGCACTGCCACTGAGGGACACCATCTGCCAGTCCGGCCTAAAAGGGCCTAAAATTCACCTGCCACGTTATGCACAGAGACTCTGGGCCCAGCCTCCCCAACCTCCCAAAGTCACAAGGAGCTGGTACGACGCGAGCGCTGCGGCCAGCTCGCCGAGGCAGCGCTTCTGCCTCGCCTCGCCTCACGCCAAGCTCGGCCTCCTTGTCCTCAATGGGAGCAGTTTACACATTCATTGGGTAGTCATTCCGGCGATGCCGTATGAATAACAGACGCACCACCCTGGATTTCTTCAGCCCTTGACAGCTTCCGCCCCCAGAGATTAGCTCAGCCTTCCCCGGTTCGGGAGCCTCCGGAGGCACGGGACTGGAACGCCCATCACCCCCGGCCCTGATAGGGGTGACGGGTGCTGTAGTCCTACACCTCTGCAGAATCCGGGAAGGCAGATTCAGCTCGTGTCGGGAATCCAAACAAAAGGAAAGGGAAAGCAGAGTGCATTTGGCTCCAGCCTCCCGGCTGTCCACTCACCTGCGTCGACCCAACTGACCTCCCCCCCCCCCCCGATATCCGGGCAGCGGGGTCCCCAAGAATTTCCTAGAAGCAGGAATGCGTGCAAGGCGAGGGCCGTCCCCACAAAATGGAATGCACCCCCCTCGGTTTAGCCGAGCGCTGCAAACACGGTCGGTGCTGCATTTGCAATAGGTGCGGGGGCTCCAAGCCGGCCGCGGCACCTGCTTTCCGCCCGGAAGCCTCTCCCTCGCTTGTATTTTAGTTGGTGCCATTTCTGTGCCAACCAACAGCCAAAAGCTCTCTCGGCAGTTCACAAAAACGACAACCCCAGAACACGGGGGTTCAAGTCCAGTATCAATCCCATTAGAAGCTTAAAACCGAATCAGAAATTAAAGTAGAGCAGTCCGCTGCGCGTGCGTGCGTGTGTGTGTGTGTGGGGGGGTCTCGGCTCTGCGGGGAAGGAACTTGGGATGGAGAGAGTGCCTCTGAGCATGGGCAGAGGGGATCAGCTTAGTCCGTGCCAGTATGAAGGCCGTCGAAAGGCTGAACCCTCGCGGCGCCCCGGGCGTTCTGCGCACCGACCCTGGCGCGGGTTTGAAACCGACCGGGGACGCACACGCCCGGGGCGCAGCAGGAAGGGCGCCCGCCGCCTGCCGCCGCGGAGAGCGGGCCCAGGGCTCCACGCTCCGCCGCGCCACCCTGACCGCCTCCACCCGCCGAGGTGCGCGCCACGCCCCCGCCCCGCGCCCCCAAGACCCCAGCGCCGCCGCCGGTACCTTTGGCGAGGGAGCCCCGACGGCGTCCGCCGCAGTGCCGAGGTGCGTGCCGGGGGTCCCGCTCCCTCGCCCCAGCGCGGAGCTGCGCCTTCCTCGTCCGGAGGGAGCGACCCAGCAGCAACGGAGCCGCCGCCGGGCGCGGATCCCCCGCACAGGGTGCGGGGAGCCGCCGGCGCCGCGCGCTCAAGAGCAGCGCCTCGCCATCGCGCGCGGCAGCGGAGGCAGGGGCAGGGGCGGCGCGGTCCCGCCGCGGCCGAGCGCTGCGCTTTGTCTGAGCGGCGACGCGCCCGGGCGGCCAGGCGCCCGCAGCCGCGCCGTCGGGGATGATGTAACCCCGGCAGCGCCGCCCCGCGCCTCGCCCCGCCCCGCCGGCCCACCCCGCCCCGCCGGCTGATGCGGCGCCCGGCGCGGATTGCAGCAGGCGGCGCGCCGATTGCAGCCCGGTTGCGCCAGGCCGGAGCGGCGTGGAGGCGCTGCCGAGCCCGCGGCCGCCCCTCGGGCCGAGCCAAAGCCCTGCAGGCCTGCGGCGAGTGCGGGCGAGGAAGCGTGCAGGGAGGTTCCCACGCAGGCCGGAGCCCCGGCAGCGCTTCGAGCATTCAGGCAAAGGTGCGGGGAGTGCTGAGCAGGTGACGGGAAAGTACTCTGTACATGAGTAGAGACTAGGCTACCCGGGGCTGTACCAGCGTCTTCCCATGTTGCCCCCGGTGGAAAGCCCGCGAACTACGTTGGATGCGTTGGAGAACGAATGCAACTCTATTTTCGCACACTGAGACTCGTTCCTTCTTTCACGTGGGGTCCTTCAGATGTTGCCCTGCATTGTCACCTTAAAGATGAACATATTTATTGCGCAAAAACTTTTGTACGTGGAAGGGGTGGGGGTGCTTTGGGGGTTAACCTTGGTGTCTTCCCCCTGCCCCTCAAGGTGCAGGACTGCTGGGGAAGATGGAACTTGTTGCTTGACCCAGCTGGGGAATGCTGGACTAGAATGCAAGATGGCTCTGAGCATACCAGCAATTCCGTGGCTTGTGTGGGAGGTCACGGTAGATAGGGGTGGGGACCTTCATCTGGCCCACCAAGCCTCCCCATCCAGCCTGGAGCGCCCTCTGCACTCCTGCCCACATCTGCCTCTGGGCCTGGGCCTTCAGGAGGAGGCAGGGAGAGAAGTCCCATTACCCGAGTCTCCAGTCGGAAATACGGGGACAGCAAGTCGAGGACATTCCCTTCTTACCTCCACCTGCACTTGCAGATTTATTTATTTACTTAAAACCTTTCTATACTGTCCCATCACAGAAGTCTCGGGACGGTTTACAACACCATTAATAAAATAGCATAAAAACAGAAATAAGAGTAGGAGTGGCACAGCATCCAATGTTAAGTATAAATCCACCAATTAAAACAAATTAGCAATTAAAATGTTGGGGGAATAAAAAGGATTTTGCCTGACGCCAAAAGCAAAGAAGCGTTGGTGCCAGGTGAACTTCCCTGGGAGCATGTCCCTGGGGGTGCAGGCACTGCTCACCCATTTGCTGGAGGGGGTCCCTGGGCCCCTCGGCTACCGAAGGGCCACTGGGCACTCCCTACCAGCGTGGCCCCTTCTGGCCAGAGAACAAGAGGCCATCGGGCGGTGCCCCCTCTCTCCTGGCCAGGAGGTGCCCTGCCGCAACGGAGGGAGGGCCCGGCTGTGCCTTGCCTTCCCCATCAGAGGATGCGCGGCTGCGCTGCAGCTCTGTCCCCGGGAGCTGCCCCAGGGGCCACCCCTCTGGCCCTTGCTCCCTGGCGCCCTCAAATGCACCTCTGGAGGTTTTCTGCAGTGCACGGTGCCTCCCACCGCGTGATGACCGATGGGCCCCTTTGGGGGAATAGCTTTGCTTGCCATTTTTTTAAATAGGTGACAGAATCCTGTGGGGGAGCCCTCTGCCCAGAAACCCCCCGCATGAAACAAAAGAAGCATAGTTCGATGAGAAGGCTTGGCGGGGCGCAGAAAACCAGGGAGAGGAAATGGAACAGAGGCCTGAACGCGGAATCTTGAGCAAGACCACTCCGTGGCTCAGCTCTTTGTCGCAGACGCCACTCGGGAGTCCTTGGAGGGGAAATTATACCTGCGCTCTTTGTGATTTCTGTTTCCCCACACATCCTGTCTCATCATCTTCCCCATCGCCGTCACTCCAGCCCACCTTTCTGCAAGCTGATGTCATGCTAGCTGGGGAGGATGTGGTTTGTAGTCCAACATGTCCGGAGGGCATCATGGGGAAGGCAGTCTGAATGCCATGCCTCTGGTTCCCTTGTTTCGTGACTTAATTTCTCCGACTGCTCCTAACGTATGAGGTGGGTTGTCCTCCAGCTGAGTCATTCCAGCTTTGGTTCAAGCTTTCAGTTTCGTAATGACCTGGCAGGTGTTTTCCTGGCAGGAAATCTGATCTTCAGCACTGGATTTCGACATCTGCGGCTTCCAAAGTTCTTTGCAGTAAGGCTGAAGCAGTGGAAGGGAAAAAAGGACTGAGAAGGCTTTTTATATTAGCTGTGATTAATTGGAGTTGTTGTCTGACCAAAGAAAATCAAGGCGATTAAAGGCCCATGTACGTGTTTAGTCAGATTCAGTCCTAAGTTCTGAGAGCTTTAGGATTACTTTTCTGTCCACACCTGCCTAAGTTTGGCCTCTAATGGTTTGGATTGGAGGCAAATAAGAAATCAAGTTTGCATTAACTTCAATGTGAATGAACAGTGATTTGGGAGAGAAAACGATTCTTCCTTGTTTTTCAATTATGCATGTACATGCTTTGTTCTTCTAGATATACAATAGGTCCATCTGGAAGCGCAAAATTTTCCTTGGGTGTAGTTTTGGTAAGTATATTGAATCGTTCAGTTGATTGATCAGTCAGGATCCTTTTTCAATTCATCGAAATATCTTTATTGACTTAATTTAAGTGATTTACCAGACAATCCAGATCTAGAGATGAGATGCAAAATGTAAAGGTGAAGCAGAAGAGAAGAGAAATGTCATTTAGTTAAATCCAAGGACATCCAGGGTCTAAAGGGACGAATCTGCCACCCAACAGGGCGGAGAGCTGTGGAGGTGGAGAGTGCAGGATCCTGACCCGGCAGCCAGGAAACGCAGTGGTGTTCCTGAGGAAAAGGCAGATCGCAGTGGTGCTGAGGTCCGCAACTGATCCTTCTGGAGTCTGCCATTGGAAACAAAGCTCTTGGCAAAACGCACACATCCTGCTGTTTGCTGGGAGGGTGGCACGGAGACAGTCCTTCTCAGGCGGCTGTTTCTGGTGGGTCGCTGCATGGCCTTCCCGGATGACCCCCTCCTTCCCCCTGGGGTGGCAAAGCTGGGCTTGGGATGTACAGTTTCAGACTGCAGGTGGGGAATTACGTAAGAGTATGCTTTTCCATACTCCTTAAATCCCGTGCCTGTAGAAAGGTAGTATGTCAGGGAGAAACCTGTCCTCTCTGACATGTTAGCTTTCTACATGCAGGGATGGTGCATTTCATCTTGCCATCCCCCAGTTGAGGGTGGAAGCTGGACAGGCCTGTTCACATCAGGAAGAACTAAGCTAGCGATCGAGGGGGATGGAATCCAGACCAGTGTGGAGGATTCCCACTTTGTCCAGTTCTGGGATTCTCAAAAATGATCGTCTCACCTAGAAGCTACCTGAACCTTAAGACCTTCCTTAGAAGCCCCTGCTTCAACTGGCCCTGAAGCCCGTTACCAACAGAGGCGGGGCCTTTTTGGTAGCCGCACCCCTCTTGTAGCACTCCCTTCCCAAAGAGCCTCGCCTGTTTGCCCCCGTGAGAGAACTTTTGATTTGCCCAGATGTTTGAAATGCTGGCTGGCTGGGCCGCCCAGTTTATCGTCCGCGCTTCAGTTGCAATCCCTTTTCAGAGACTGTAGTTTAAGACTGGATTTGGCTTGTGAGCCACCCAGAGCTTTTCTGGTACGGAGCAACCACGTAACTCGAGTAGGTAAATGAATAACCGGTGCAGCCTCACCCCAGAAACTGGCCCGAGATGCTGCACTCCACCTGGCAAAGGGGATGCACCTGTCAGCCTCTCAGGGGCTCTTGCGAGGGACCGTGCCAGAGCAAGAACTCGCCTTTGCATGCAGGAGGTGGTGCCCGGATCCCGGGAGAGCTGTTGCTGCCAGCCCGTGTCTGTAGTACTGGGCGAGAAGGAGCCCAAGGTTGACCCAGCAGGAAGCAACATGGTGTCTGTGTCAAGCGATCTACGCCATAAATCAAGCCCCGTCACCGTGTCCTTTGTCCTTTGCCAAAGTGCTTGGATTATCTCAGTGTTTCTAAGTGTGTCTTTTCACAGTTATAATGAAGGAGCAGGGCATATAGAAACATAGAAACACGGAAACAGAGTGAGTCAGAAGGGGCTTCCCAGGCCATCTAGTCTGACCCCTGGCTCCAACCAGCCCCTCTCACGACATGCCCACCGTATTCCCATTTCTCTTGCAGCCCTGCCCTCAGCAATTTGAGCGTTTCTTCTGCCATCCTCTAGGCCGTTCCTTTCTTTTTGCCACAGGAGTTCCTACATTTGCTTTCTTCCCCAGCATTGTCTCGGTCCCCATTTCCTCTGGCTCACAGTCAGCTGAGTTCAGCAATGCAAATCTGTCCTTTGCGTGGACTTTGAATTCCTTAGGAATGCTACTGAAGCTGTAATTTGGAGCTCTGCTTCTGCCAGTGATCCTTTTCAGCTCTACTCAGATTTTTGATAGGCAGAGTTCAATCTTATTTGTTTTCCATACTGACCACCTGCATGCGGTTATCAGATTGGTAGCCTAAACGCTGCATTTGCCATGAACAAGTTGTGAGCTTCACAGGATTCTGTGGCTCAGTCCAGCTGCCTCGTGTCTGACCCACAGCCCACAGTGCCCCACGGCGTTTGACTCGGCTTCGTTTCCTACTTCTCCACTCCACTCACAAGGGAGTATATCGTGTGCTATCAATTTCCTCTCAAAGGCCTGCATAAAAGTGTTTGATTTGTTCTTCCGCAGCATCTGTTGTTGGAGTGTAGACTTAAACGAGGTGGATGGGTTTTCCGAGAATTCTGACTGATACGATTCAGTCGGACGTCACACTGCGGCCCTTCCTGTCTGTGCCGCGTCTTACCTCACTGTTACAGCCACTCCGTTTCTTCTGGATGTGTCA